CTTTCGTGGGGACGATATGAATGCATCGGATTCCGATGTCGACGAGTTTGATTACTCAGTAAGTGATTAAGTATGCCTGTATGATGTCTAACATAAACTGGTTCATGTATGAAATGTTTAGCAAATATTGATTTACCATTCGGCATTCGGTTTGTTTATGCAATTGCTTACTCTTTTTGTGTGGTTTCAGAATAATAAAATAGCGGATACTTCAGCTGACCAAGCTCGGAAAGGGAAAGACATACAAGGGATTCCTTGGGACAGGCTTAGTATTACGAGAGAGAAATATAGACAAACTAGACTAGAACAGTATAAAAACTATGAAAATGTACCGAATTCTGGAGAATCATCAGGGAAAGTAAGTCTTCCATTCTCTGATTCTTATGTTGTTGTTGTCGACTTGTTTTTGCGAATCTAACTGTTGCATATCGTCTGCTTAATGATATACAGGATTGCATGGTCACACAGAAAGGGGCCATGTTTTATGATTTCTGGCGAAATACAAGATCTATCAAATCAAGTATTCTTCATTTCCAGGTTCTTATCACTGAAAGCATAGCTATTTCTTTTCATTCGATGTTCCTTTTGGTAATTCCATACATCATGGGTTTAGTTAATGAAGATGTGCAAATTGCTACAACTGTCCGCATAAGTTCAACGATATGGATTCGTAGATCGTTAACTCTTCCTTGTATTGTAGCTGAGGAATTTGGTTTGGGCAACTTCTAAGCACGATGTTTACCTTATGTCACAATATTTGGTGAGCCACTATTCTACTTTGACAACCGGAAAGCATGAAGTTCTCAATGTTCAAGGTCATGTTGCCCCATCCGAGGTTAGTTTCTTCCACAACGATCGAAACTTCTTCTATAAATATTTACATTAATTAATGGGTGATCCTTTTTATTCTTGTGTGGATGCAGAAACATCCGGGAAGTTTGTTGGAGGGATTTACGAAGACTCAAGTGAGTACACTTGCAGTGAGGGATAAATTTTTAGTTGCAGGCGGATTTCAAGGAGAACTTATATGCAAGGTAAACTCTAGAGTTTTACAGATGTCTGGATTTTACACGATAATTAGATGCAATCTAATGAAGGAACTTCGTCTGTTTCCACATTTATTCGATTCAGCATCTTGATAGACCTGGTGTGAGCTTTTGTTCACGTACAACTTATGACGATAATGCTATCACTAATGCTATTGAAATTTATAACAAGCCCAGGTATATGTTTATCTTTTGCTTAAAGTAGGTTTATGCCAACTTTGTACAACTTACAGATTGTGCTTGACCTTTTGGCGTCTGTCTGTCTGTATGCAGTGGGGCGCTTCATTTTACTGCCTCGAATAATGATTGTGGAGTCAGAGATTTTGATATGGAGAGATACCAGCTTGTTAACCATTTTCGTTATCCTTGGCCAGTGAATGTAAGTCCTTACTCATTTCGTGATTTTCGTGGTTTTTCATTTGGGACACATTTGTGGCAATAAGTTTGAGTTACGTCAATCATTTAACGATAACATGTCATTTTGTTGACAGCATACATCTTTGAGTCCTGATGGTAAATTATTGACGATTGTGGGAGACAACCCGGAAGGCCTTCTGGTAGACCCCAACACGGGAAAGGTACATACACAGTCTCTGTGTTGTTTAAATATCTTGAATATATACTCTTTCCTGACTCAATTTGTAAATTTCGACAGACACTGGGAACGTTAGCAGGACATATGGACTTTTCCTTTGCATCGGCATGGCACCCAGATGGGGTCACTTTCTCCACAGGTAACCAGGACAAAACCTGCCGGGTTTGGGACATCCGTAACCTGTCCAAGTCTGTTGCTGTCTTGAGGGGTAACCTTGGAGCAATCCGATCCATCCGCTACACGTCCGATGGGAAATACATGGCCATGGCTGAGCCGGCTGACTTTGTCCATGTCTACGACGTCACAAACGGGTACGAAACAGAGCAAGAGATCGACTTCTTTGGCGAGATCTCTGGAATATCCTTCAGCCCGGACACAGAAGCACTCTTCATCGGTGTTTGGGACCGCACTTACGGTAGTCTCCTTGAGTATGGACGGCACCACAACTACTACTACCTTGATTCATTTCTATAATTTCCCCTAAACCCATCAGAGGAATAAAAGAGCTTACACTCTCCCGTGACTTAGCTCGAGAAACCCGTCTAAAAGACAGTAAAATCAAACCTCTATTGATGTAAATGATGTGTTGTGCAATTGCTAGTAGAGGGTGTCACAGACTCACAGAGACTCGATTTAGTTAGTTGAATTTTTCTTTCTTTTTTGAGTGTTGAGGTTCATGTATAATGTATATATGTGTTTGAGGTTCGGCTTGAGCTTGCATCAACTCTTGGCTCTGGCCAAACCCGGAAGAGACCACGGTCCAAATCCCTGGCTCTTGAGTTGGCTATGGAGTTTGTGAGTTGATTGCATCAACTCAACTCTTGGCTCTGCCGATTGTTCGATCAATTAAATAATGTTTCGTTTATATTATTGTAATCTTCACCACAATACTTTACCAAAAAATTTTGGTTCATAACTCCAATTAAATCTCAATGTAAAGCGTGAAGTTGAAATTAATGCAGTGGGACTAAATCGGACAGAAGAAAAAGTATGGTCTTTTAAGTAAAACTGACGAAACTTCGAGGGCTTCGATGCAAATTCTTTGTCTGAAAAATCACATAATCCATAAACAACCAACGAAACAATGCCACATCATCAATCCGAAATCATATCCTCACAAACAAAATCTTCTTCTTCTTCTTACTCTCAAAACCTAAAAACACAATCTCTCTTAAGATCATAAAGCCAAAAAAGCCACTCATTTCCATTCTC